AACGATTTTAAACACACTAAAGAAATAGAATATAGTTACGTTATTTTCCACTACACAGTGTGATGAGAAAAATACATTGTCATTGATAACGGCACATAAATAGACATACATCGATATTTTCAAAATGTCGATACGTCGTCGTTTAGATCCTGTCGAGTTCCGGACTCACCACGTTTGTTATTTTATTTTTGTTTAATTTAGTGTTAAACTCGAATAGATGTTATGCTTTTATTTTTTTTTATTTCATATACTGTAATAATAATGAAAATAATATTTTCGGCTATCTGACACACAACGCCATCTAGTTTCAAACAAAACATTAACAATATGTTAGTACTTAACCTCGAAACATTCAAAATCCAATATCTTTTTTCCTAGACTTCTTTCGCAAGTTATTTTGATATGAGAATGGTCAAGAATATATTCTCAAGTGTTAAGGATTTTTTGATATTTAAACGCTAACATTTCAGTTCAAATAAAATTATGTATGGGGACCTGCCATTGTCCTTTATGTAGGTTTATGTATGCATGTGTGTTTTTATATTGTATATGTTTCTGGACCTAAATTATGTTAATATCATATTTTATTTTGCACCTACCGCATCATATTTCTACATCACCTGAAGGTTGACTGGGAGAGAATGCCTAATGGCATTAAGTCCGCCTTTGTACAATATGTGCATTAAGTTTAAAATAAATAAATAAATAAATAAACCCCGCGGCGGCTACCTCGGCAGTCGGGAGGAGCTCCAGGAACCTATCCTCCCTGCCGTACCCCATGTCTGAGGCACATCCCGGAGTGTCCGTAGTCACCCTAGGGCAGGACGCTACCGCGCCTCTCACTGCAGTAATAAAAGGCGCAACAGCGTCGCAGGCCTTAGACGACACCTCCCAGCTGCACCGGAGTATCATTTGTCTCGGGTCGTTTACAACATTCACATCGCCCCAAGATGTGGCCGCAGCGACCCTTCGCCGCCTCCTTCGAGCGGGATCGGCCCTCTCCCGAACACGCTCTGCGGCCTCTTTTTGAAGTATAACGTCCTCGCAGAAGGAGACCGCGGCTGCCCATCCCCCCCACTCGCCAGCATTGCCGCGAAAGAATATATTATCCTGTCTCACTGTGTCGCTGAGGGCTACTCAACATACATAAAACGGAGACAGAACGACTAGAGTCAGAACAGCCATTTATGGATTATAGCAGTCGCATACATACGTGTCCGTGTGGTGACGGATTAAGAATACGGAGTGTCACCACCGTGTCAAAGCCGGCTAAGGGAACAAACTACGCAGGACAACAGTACTGCAAAGAGAATGAAAACTTGACACAAACCCTATATATGTATATGCTAGCATTGCACCACAGTTGCTTATTTTATGAAATTGTATTAACAGATGCCAAAGTCATTATCATGTAAAGGTCTCCCAAAATAAAATAAAAGATTTTATAATGAAAAAAAACCGGTCAGGTACGAGTCGAATTCGTGCGCCGAGTGTTCCGTACCTACCCAGATTTACGTAGATTTTCGCGAAAATTTGTAAGTACCAAAATTTATCTGAATTTTCAACTTTTAATTTTTTTTGGAATTAATCCTTTATTTGTGCAGTAAGATGTTTCTTTTTGGTAAATTTCGTGATTCTAGGTCAACGGGAACTACCATATAGGTTTTCGACCCAAAACCTATAGGGTACTTCCAGTTGACCTGGAGTTGTCAATTTTGGTTGAAAGCAAGGTCTTATAGCACAAGTAAAGAGAAAATTCTGAAAAATAAACAAAATTGAAAATTAAGGTAAATTTTGGTACTTACAAGTTTTCGCGAAAATCGAAATTTGACCATATCTTTTTATCGTGTTGACTCAAAACCTTGATTTTTATACACCTTAAAGGGACCATAGACCTCAATATCTGGTATAAATTTCAACTTGCTAGGTCTACCCGTTCCTGAGAAAATCGGGGGTGACACACGGACAGACGGACCGACGGACAGACGGACTAGAAAGCTATCTTATAAGGGTTCCTTTTTTACCTTTTGGACAACTATGTTATGTCACAACTAGTTTACTCAAAGTTTGTTAACACGACGCATGAAATTTGTAAAGACATTATTAATAAGATTATGTTGACACATCTCATACACGGCCATCTCATCCAAAATTAAGGAGAGCGCCTACTATAGTAACCAGATAACTGATAAACCTACTTATAAATTTTGAAATAGAAACTGAACAAATTATTTTACTCGTCATAACAATGTTCCAATTGTCCTGGGCGGGATTCGAAGCCACGACCGGTTGAGTTAGGAACACAAACCTCTAGACCAACAGGACAATCAGATGTTGTTAAATTTCGTGAACCTGGTGGAAATAAAAAAAATATATATTTATTATTCATACCATTTAATAAGAACCTAATAGAGGAAAATGCTTTAAACATCCATCTGGTGACGGATGTCGTAAGAACTGACTTTGGGAGTAAACTACGCAGAACAACAGCACTGCAAAGAGAGGGTAAACTTAACACAAACCCTGTACCAACTCAGCGTGGTATAGGAGGCCATAACCTCCTTAAAAAGGAGAGGCCTATGTATAGCATTGGACTAATAAAGGCTAATATACCTGTAGAGATCTAATTTACCTGTAATGAATTTATGAGAAAAATGATTTAGAAATGGATTAGTGATGGTAATTTATAGTTTTAACTGACTATATACTGACACTAGTGTAGACTTACGCCGTAAGTCTTTACAGACAGTATGCACTGATTAAATTCTTTGTCTTGAGACTCTGACATTCTACATATCCCCCATGTCACTCGTGAGTAGTTCCGAGGATATCACATCCCTCCACTTAATTCTCTTTGCAATGGGATATTTTTGGTCTGCTGATTCTTAACTTGGACGCTTATAGTCGTAGTATTATAGATATTTCAAATTACAACATGACAATGGTCGGACAGTCCGATTGACTGCACGGATGGCGCAGTGGTTTAAGCGGTCGCCACGCCGCTTCCTACTGTGTGATCCACAAATTGTTGTTCTGTTCCTGGGAGTTCTTTGTGTTAGTTTCATGTATGTTTGTAAAGTCCCCCGCGATGCAAGATATATTCCTAAAGCGGGAGTTGTCTTTTTAAAGAAAAAAAAAGATCTCAGAAAAGCCTAGGTTTCAACTGAGGCAAAGGCTTTCTCGTAGTTCACAAAGCTAAAACCTATCAAGTCTTCCTGCGAGACGATTTAGGATGACGTTAATAGTCCATAGTAGTCTTCAACCTAGTTACCGCTAAGCCGACTTAGAGACAATAAGATTGAAATTGTCATTAACGATTTTAAACTTTGTGAGCATGACTAAATTTTGCATAGACGGTGTCAGAGATCGACAGATATTCAACGTCAGACTTAACCTTTATTTTACTTGAATATTTGTTTCAAATAATAAAAAGAAACTAAAACGGTTCATAATTGAAACGGCTTTATAAATCATACTGAGGTACATAAAACTATCTGACGTAATAAAACGAATCGTACCAACATCACTCGTGTGTGTTGTTACAAAACCTGTTTACATTTAATATAAAAGTAATAGGTATTTTAATAATTCGTGTCGATCTATTGTATATTATAGAATCGAATTATTTTTGCATATTTTGAAGTAAGTGGGTTACAATCATATCATACTCGTAAACGTATGTTATAGGCTAACGTTGTCAAACAAATATGGGACAATTTCGACAGTCTGACGGCGCCAACGCGCGTGAGTGCTTGTGTTCCGTGTCGCTACTTCACTGATTTTTTTTTTTTTTTTTTTTTTTTTTTTTTTTTTTTTTTTTTTTTTTTGTTGACGGGGTGGAAAATCCCTTCGGATCTCCTGCTCCTCGGGGCTAGGAGCTAGGAGTATGTGGTGATTCCACTAAAAACCACCCCGACGGCCGGCCTCAGGTGTCCTACTCTGGGAGGACCCGGACCATGTTATTTCAGGTCCTCCCCGAATTGACACCATGCCTAGTCAGGCCCTATCCCAGGGGAAAATCACTTCCCCCCTCAATCGCGACGTGGCGGCCCAATTTCGTCTTAATGAAATCAGGCCGCCATCCTATCCCCTACCGCAACATTCAATCAGCGACCAGAGGTCCCCACTCTCTGGCGGCCCGCGGCCCCGTCGGCGGCTGGTATGGTCGCCGACGTCCTCTACGCTCAGGATCGGCCCTCTCCCGATCCCGTTCAGCGGTCTCTTTCTGGAGCATTACAGCTTCACAGAAAGAGACCACTGCGCCCCATCCCTCCTCACCCGCCAGCATGGCAGCAATGATTGCTGGCGGGGACAGGTCTCTTCCGATTTGGCCGACCAGGACTTCGCGTTCAGACGCCCACGCGGGGCAGTCTTCCAGCGTGTGCTGGGCGGAGTCCCAGTCGGCTGCGCAGTGCTGGCATTGTGCCGTCTCCTCGCGTCCGATACGATTCAGGTACTCACCGAAGCAACCATGCCCAGTGAGTACCTGCGTCAGTCGATAGGTGACGCGACCTCCCTCCCTACCTACCCAGGCTTCGAGGTTAGGCAGAACAGCGCTGACAGCGCGTTGGCGTGCATTCTGTGGCTGTTCCAGCCGCACGCGCCACTGCACCAGTGCATGTTGGTGAGCGTTCCGCCGCATTTCGAGCGCGTCCTGGCCTTCCCCGCTCTCACCCCAGCGGATCGCGCGAGTCTGGTCATAGACCCTCGCATCCATATCCGCCAGGATATCAAAGGGCGGGAAACGTGCCAGGACTGTCGCCGCACTGATTTAGTGTCTAAACCGTGGTTTAAACATCCGCATGACATTTAATGTAATTGAAGTGTATACTCGTCATAAGAAAAGTAAACATGGCCAAAGCGGAAGAAATTTTAAATAAACTTTTATTACAAATAGCAAAAGAACAAAACTTTGTAAACTACGATTTGAAAATCAAACCAGCATCGAGTGGAGGTGCAAATTTTTCTTCGACACTATGTAATGTAACTATGTAAACACTATGTATGTAACTATCACGGATGGCGAAAATATTGTTCATATGTTTGCCAAAGTTGCTGCGGCCGGGGAACAACTACGTTTACAAGCACCAAAGGTTTATGAAACAGAAATATTTGCTTACACGAAACTGGCCGAAGTTTACAAAGGATTAGAAAAAGAACACCAAGTACCTGAAGAAAACCGGTTAAAATTTGCTAAATTCTACGGTTGTAATTCTACAGTATTTGAAGAAACTCTAGTTCTTGAAGACCTTGTTGAAGAAGGTTATGTAGCGTTTGATAGATTCAAGTGCTTCGACCTAAAATACGCAACTAGTGCGCTGACAGAGTTAGCGAAAATGCACGCTCTGTCATTAGGATACGGTGCATACCATCCAGGCGCCTACATTGAAGTTATTGATTATGTCAATAAAGGAAACTGGGTGGCTCATGCTGGTTCAGCTCTGGTAGGTTACCTGGAAACTGTTTTTGCTACGGCACTTAAGAACGCTAGAGAAGAAACCAAAGACAAGCTACAGAGGTTCCTTGAAAAGTTTGACAAGGCTGCGTATGGTGATTTTTACAGGACTTCTGGACCTCCAGTATTGGGGCACGGAGATTTTAGACCAAGTAATTTGATGCACAAGATTTTGAACGTAAGTTAGCTATAATTTAATTATTTTTTTAGATAAGGTACAATAACTGTATTCCTTTTATTCTCACCAATGATGTAATAATAAAGTCAAAACCTGGATAGCAGAGTAGATATTATTAAACCTCTAAAATATGGGACCATATTATACATACATTTTGAAGAGTCCAAGATATAGTGGGATATTGCTATCCCAGCACCCAGCCGCCTCTCGTTTAAGATACAAGTTCGAGCTCGCATTCTGGACACCCTAGCAGATTCATTACAACCTTAAAGATTTATATATTATTAATATGCAGGTTTAGGTATGTATGTACCTAGGTAAGCATTTATGTATGTGTATGCATTTGGTACGTGTGTATATTTATCGGATTGTTTCTGTCTAACTTATCAATAAATAAAATTACTTTACATATCAATGCCTAGTGCACCTAGTCACATATTTCAGCACCACCCTAAGGTAGACTGGGGGAAAATGCCTGTGGCATTAAGTCCGCCATTGTACGACTCATACTTGTCCATAAAGAAAAGTGCTAAGTAGAGACGGAGTAGAGACCCTGTGGTGACGGATTAAGAATACGGATTGTCACCACGCCCATTCATCCCGTGGGTGTCGTAAGAGACGACTAAGGGAGCAAACTACGCAGGACAACAGCACTGCAAATAGAAGGAAAACTTAACACAAACCCTATACCAACCCGTCTGGCCAGCGTGGTATAGTAGGCCAACACCTCCTTTCTAAGGAGAGGCCTATGTCCAGCAGTGGACTGTTAAAGGCTGTTGATGATGATGAGAGACGGTTTGAAAATAGAGCTAGTAGGTGGATGGTGGCTCTTTTTTATTTTAATTTGGTTAATTATTCAAGCAATGAACATCGCCGTCCGTTTTTTAATGGTCTCAAAAATAGTTAAGCGTCAAAGTGGTCGATCTGAATGTTCTTTACACACGTTACAAATAAGTGATGTAATACTGGCAGACTAACAGCAGTTTTAGTTTACTGACGCGTCCGGTAATTAGGTTCTTGTTTTGCAGCGACGGGTTTTACCTTGTAGAGTACTTAACTTTTTATGTTATGTGGTTATAGGTAAGTTATGCCAATATTTTGTACTGAATACGGTGGGTGCGTAATAATTACGTTGGACTTGTGAGCGAGTGGTTGGGCCTCGAACCACAAATATGTTGGGGGGTTTTTAATAAAAGCATTTAGTTTAGTAGATTAATTGAACAAACCAGCCGGATAGAAGTAAATATTGTGAGTTTTGTCGACAGTAACATGGTTTCAAAAGTTGATTATTTTTTTCGTAATTACAAATTGTTAATAAAATTGATTGTATATTTTGGTAATTAAGCAAAATAGTTATTGCAAATATATTCATTAGGATGTATGAATTTTAAGGATGATCATATCCATCTCCTTCATGACCCATCTGCTCGTTTGACCCCCCTACCATATACCATCCCTTTGGACAAACGAATACATGGGTCACCTGATAGTAAGGACTTATGCAATGCAAACTTGGACACTCTTAAGTGCGTTGTTTGTGTGCCCACTCCCTAAAGAATTCTTTAAAAGAGGGATAGGGGACGGGAGTGGGCATTGGTAACCTCACGGGAAAAGTAATGAAAAAATAGTGTCACCCCGGTCAAGCCGGCCCATTTGTGCCAAAACATGGCTCTCCCACAATACACCTAGTATGCTCAGTATTGTTGTTGGTCATAGGTGTTGTCTCTGATGTACACAACTTATACTAGTGGCAGTGGAGATAGGATCGGTCTCAATAAAACAAAAAAACTGAAATAATATAAATAACAGTTAATGGTCTTGACATATTGTTCTGTTAATGTTTCCTGTGGTGACAAATTAAGAATACGGTATGTCACTACCCCTATTAACCTAATGAGTATCGTAAGAGCCGACTAAAGGAGCAAACTACGCATTACAAACCAAAAGGAAAACTTGAAACAAACTCCATACCAACCCGTCTTGCCAGCGTGCTAAATTGTAGACCAAAACCCCATTTCTCACGAGAGGCCTGTATCCAGTAGTGGACTGGTAAAAGCTGTTGAAGATGACAGAAGTAATGTAAACTCAGTAATAGTTCAGCTAAACTTTAACGTTAATTAAGAATATTGTTGATTTCAGCATGGTGCCATGGATATTAAAATAGTGGATATGCAGACACTATATGGAGGCAGCCCCGTTATAGACTTACTGTTTTTCATCTTTACTGGGTCTGACGAGCAGTTACGGGAACAGCATTTTGAGACATTGCTAGATCACTACTACACCCAGCTAAATGTGTCTATGAAGAGGCTGGGTCTAGAACCCGAGAAGGTGTATTCTAGGGAAAATTTCCAGGCTGAATTAAAGGAGGTTAGACTTATTTTATTTTTTATTCCCAATAGAGAACTTCATGCGATAGGCTTTCTCTCAGTTATTCTCCCAGTCTTGATTTAAACGTTTTACATTTATTCACGATTACTTGGATAATAAGTATCCACCTATAAATGAACAATTTATTTCAAAGATGGAAATTGTCGTGGTTTAGCAGTTATGAAATATATCCTCAATTTTTTTATAGAAATTTTGTATTTATTATGTAGGGAATGGTGGCAATATATAATAAAATAATACCAGATTTACCGTTAAATAGGGTCTTTATGTATCATTATGTATCTGAAAACAACTTATTAGCAACAACGCGTAAGTAGTAACCTTAACCTACGTACGAAAAAATTAAATGACAAATCACCGTTCATTCACAGTTCACTGTGATTTTGTCGTCAATTCTTTTATTGCTTTTCACTGAGCGTGTAAGGTTACCGGAGCTACTACTAGAAAATGACATACATGACCCACACACACACACACGCACGCACACACACACACACTCACGCACACACACACGCACGCACACACACACACACACTCACGCACACAGGCACACACACACACACACACAAATTTCTTGTTACAGAGTTGCATGTTACAGAGGTCATTAATGTAAATAAGAAAGAGTGTAGGCCCTAGCACACTCCCTTGCGGCACTCCGTAGGAGAATCATCACTTTGCTATTGTTCTAGTTTAACCCTTTATTCCCGATTGAATACAAAGCAAGTAGAGTTTTGATTATCTCTTATGCCTATTTTTTCTAATTTTTGAATTTACAGTAACTTTTTTTGTAAATTATTTTTAACTTTATTATAATTGTGTCATTAATATATCTTGATTGTTTCAGAAACTTGTATTCGGGCTGATGATCGCAGTAATTACTTTACCGACAATGTTGGTGAGGGACACGCCCGAAGTGAACGAGGACTTGAACTTTGCCACCTTTGCTGTGGAAGAGTCCAGCGATCTTTACGTCGAAAGGCTGAACGGAGTTATCAATGATTACGTTAAATGGGGCATACTCAAATAGTGATTACTAGTCCAAAATAATAGAAAGTAATAGAAAGAAAAAAAATAATAGAATCAAAGAAAATTTATACTGTTATAACCGGGAGATTCATGCCCGAGCACAAATTAAGCTCGAACGAAATGATACCACTAGACATTTAAATTATTGTTACTTTTAAATCATATTCATTTGATGAAATGATTAGGTTTAGTCACAGCTATTTCCCTTGTGATTGTTATTTCGTCATGGACAAAGAAAAGTGGCATTAAAATCAATCAAATTTCTTAAAAATAAAAGTAAGTGTAGTGTCTATTGCAGCAGGGACAACTAGAACAACGGAGTATAAAACTGGAGTAAAAACATTATCCCTTCAAATCTCTTAAGCTAATTAAAGTCCTATATTGTGCATTAGTACACAGCCACTTAGAATGTGTATCTCAAGATTGAAATTCCCAATACATATATTTGTTACTCGATATCGCCGTCAATTGTATACTCCCAAGGTGGTCCCATTACCACCAAATCAGGATCTAATGATAATTTTACAACCCCGACAACGTGTTTTAGCTTTTTTCTCTAGAGTTAGGGATTTGCGTTTAGTAGTCCAAAATACCACTCCTAGTTTTGGAAAATTAAAGTAATATGGTAAACAATATATTTTCTGGTTCAAATGGAACATCTTACTATCTTATCTAAATAAAGTAACGTACTTATTAAACTATATTTAAAATATAATCTAATATATCAGTTTGGTATTGTACATTATGGTATTTAGTGTTTTAAATATCGTAATTATCTACTCATTAAACATATCTTACACTAAAAATGGTAAGGGGAATTAAGGATTATGTACATAATTGTAAGTAAGTAAAAAAACTATAATAAGTACTCTCAATATAAAAGGTAACATTATAATAGCAATAGTCCCTTCTAGTCTGTTTGAAGTCGGTGCCAAGCCAAATAGATGTTTGATAGGCTTGGTAAAATGTAGCGCGGTAGCAGCTGAATAAGACATTTTCAAATTATAGTCCAGACACAAATAACATTATATAGTGTTCTGCTGGCACTTAAAATAGGATAATCTGAGCTATATATTAGGTCTTTACCTATGAAATTGCCGTTTTGTATGCAATAAGTGAAAGTACTTATTTTTTCAAACTTTTTTATTTCTGTTATTCGAAGTAATCACCCATGCAATCGACGCATCTTTGCCAACGCATTGGCAGTTTATTGATGCCCTTCTTGTAAAAATCAGCTGGACGGGAGGCAACAAACTCTTCAAAGGCATTTTGTACTGCCTTTTGTAATGCAGATGTGTACTGTGAAGAACTGGAGAGAATGATGGAGAAGCTTGCACATCTGCAACCAGATCAACACACACAAAAGCAACAATCTCTGTTTTGTCAAACAGTAAGCAAATAAATTTAACAAAAATCAAACCCATACAAAATCTATGATATGCCTGTGCCGATCTACAACCGCCCTTTTCCAGTATCTTAGTATCGCCCAATCGGCCGGGTGGCAGAGAATGACTTGTGTAATAAGTTATAAAGTAAATAAATATGATTATTGAATAGTAATTATTGAATAATAATACAATTAAAGCCGTGTGGTACAAATATTTCATTTATAAATTTTGGTAGAGATATTTAAAAAAAAACAATAATCTAATAAATTTTTTATATAAACAAAAAAGAAGTTGAAGTTGAAAATTGAATGGCTAAAACTAAAAAATCCTATTGATTGTAGAGAAATAAGACTAGTCTCATTTTATTCCTCTTAAAATCGCCGATGCGTTATTCTCAATTTGTTTAATAAAATGCATAATGCAAGTAAACGAATTCTTTCTCTCTTTACAGTGAAATGAGAGCGAGAGATATAGCGACTAATGCTTTTCTCGTAAAATCCCTCTCGCTACATCGTCCCATAAGGAACTTCGTCCCAACATTTTTATAATTTTTGTGGATAAGTCTCTCTAAGAATAAATAAATAAATGTAATTTGTTATAATCATCCTGAATTGCGTATTTTTGTTACCGGTGTTACATCCTTATAGATAGTGGTTATCTGATTTTAAACATATATTAATATTTGTAATAATAAATAAAGAAAACGTGACATTCATTGTTGCGTATAAAAGGATTTAAATTCATATCATACTCGCATTAGTTACACGAGTATGATAGGCTATCGTTGTCAACTGCGACAGCAATAACAAATTCGACAGTATAACAGCGTGAGCGCTCGTGAGTACTCGTACATTGTGTCGCCGAATGCATACGTATTGTGTGCTTATATTATAACTGAAGTGTAACGAAATTTAAATATGGCAAAAGTCGAACGAATGTTAAATAAACTTTTATTACAAGTCGCAAAAGAACAAAACTTTATTAACTTCGATTTGAAAATCAAACCTGTATCTAGTGGAGGCGCAAATTTTTCTTCAACACTGTTCAATGTATCCATCACGGAGGGCGACAAAGTTGTGCATTTGTTTGTCAAAGTTGCCGCGGCCGGTGAACAATTACGAACACAAGGGGGATCAAAGGTTTATGAAACAGAAATATTTGCTTACACGAAACTGGCCGAAGTTTACAAAGGATTAGAAGAAGAACACCAAGTACCTGAAGAACACCGGTTGAAATTTGCTAAATTCTACGGTTGTAATCCTACAGTATTTGAAGAAACTCTAGTTCTTGAAGACCTTGTTGAAGCAGGTTATGTAGCGTTTGATAGATTCAAGTGCTTCGACCTAAAATACGCAACTAGTGCGCTGACAGAGTTAGCGAAAATGCACGCTCTGTCATTAGCATACGGTGTATACCATCCAGGCGCGTACATTGAAGTTATTGATTATGTCAATAAACGAAACTGGGTTGTTCAAGCTGGTTCCTCTCTGGTAGGTTACCTGGAAACTGTTTTTGCTACCGCACTTAAGAACGCTAGAGAAGAAACCAAAGACAAGCTACAGAGATTCCTTGAAAAGTTTGACAAGGCTGCGTATGGTGATTTTTACAGGACTTCTGGACCTCCAGTATTGGGGCACGGAGATTTTAGGCCAAGTAATTTGATGCACAAAGTGTGCGACGTAAGTTGGCTATATATTTAGTTTAAACTTAATCATTGTATTACTTTTATTTCACTAGTACCGTGATCTAGCATTTTACAGCTGATCTGATGTTAATGTCAAAGGTTAGAGAGAAAGTTAGAATTCAGTAGATGCTATTAAACTCAAGCTTGATATCATAATTTATTTTAATCGCTAATAATGTAACTTTCCACTGGTGAAATAATTTTTAGAATCGGTTTAGTGTTTTAGATGTGTAAGTATGCATGTTACAGATATCTTGCATGCAGGATCAGAACAAAGGACCGTACTCGTGACACAATGTACTCGTAAACTCCAGCTAAAGCTAGATTGGAGGTAATTAGGAAGTTTCTAAATATTTACAGACTTCATATTATATTGCTACTTCGCCCTGCGGGCAAACCCCTTGCTTGTGTTCATAATTCTTTTTACCCATTGCCCAGTTGGCATTCGAGTCTTATTCTCCTCTAATTTTGCTATCGTCAATAGCCATACAAAGAATAGTCTTGCAATTAATACATGATTTTTCTTTACATGAATTCATTCTTTATCTTGTCTTTCCGAGTAATATCACAAACCATCGTAACGTGGATGGTCAATCATCTGTTATTAATCAAAATCAAAGGTCATTTACTCAAATAACGCTGGGTGTCAGCACTTTGTAAACATCATTATTGTCAATCATTGTACATAACTACAGTCCCACAAAAACGTCCAACCCGTCACCACTTCCTAGTGTTTTAGCTGGAAACAAGAAGCGGTGGAAAAAACTAACCAGCAACACATCTGTCCGTTAAGTGTAGCCAATAGTAGCTATAATCTCAATAATCCTAATTTTAGTAGTCTTTTTGTGACTTTAACATTAACCGAGAATATTATTTTTACGGGGCTCTTGTGGCTAGTGACCCTGAGTTCTAAGCAAGAGGTCGTAGGATCAATTCCCACCTATAATTATGTGATGGTGATGATGAGATTTGTTCTGTGTCTGGGTGTAATTTATCTATGATATGTTTATCAGCAGTCTGGTTACCACAGCACAGGCTCTGTCTAGTTTGGAACCAGACGAGCGTCGGTGAGATGTGTGAAGTAATTAAGCAATTATTGATTTTAGGACGGCACGGTGGATATCAAAGTAGTGGATATGCAGACACTTTACGGAGGCAGCCCCGTTATAGACTTCTTATATTTCATCTTCACGGGGTCTGACGAGCAGCTGCGGGAGCAGCATTTTGAGACATTGCAAGATCACTACTACACCCAGCTATGTGTGTCCATGAAGAGGTTGGGTCTAGATCCCGACAAGGTGTATTCTAGGGAAAACTTCCAGTCTGAACTAAAGGAGGTTAGACATTTTATTTATCTGTTAAAACTATGACTGTAAGCCAATCATGTCTCCATGCGAACTGACAGTTGCTGGGTCCGTCAGGTGTTTGAGGAGAGAGTTGATTAGAGAAATGTAGTAAACTACAGGCTGTAGTCTATAGCACGATGGACCGAAGACTTGGCTGACAGCGGATTGAGGCGGCAGACTAATTACTTATCCGACTTGTAAAAATATCTGAAAAGATTTACTTGCAGAAAAAATATTATTTCATCATTTCAATGATGATGATAATAAAATACAATGGCGTACCTAACATCATAGGCATTTCCTAAATCTTTTAAAAATTCCTTTATAAAGGTGTCGGTTCACGAAAACCAATTTTACAAACAATTGTTATCTATCCACTACCACGCTTCTGAAAACGTTGCATGATGAACAATGATAATAAAAGGTAAATATAAAATACCCTAATTGTTTCAGAAACTTGTTTTTGGGCTGGTGCACTCGACGCTGATTTTACCGATATTGTTGGCAAATGACACGCCTGAAGTGAACGAGGAGTTGACCCTCTCCGCCATGGCTGAGATAAAGGCCACTGACCTTTGTATCGAGAGGCTAAACGGCGTTATTAATGATTATGTCAAGTGGGGGATACTAAAGTAGCGATTACAAGTCTAAAAAACATGAATCTTAGTTTTTTTAATTCATAAATAATCTGTTTTTAACACGCTTTTATTAGCTCGGTATGTATGTATCTATGAATGTATGTAACGGATTCTTCGAACGTGTTTTGGAGTTACTATAAAACATCGAATTATCTTGAAAAGTCGCACACTTATCAATAACCGATGACAATACAATAATCTGATGAATTTGTCCGATTATCCTGATCAGGATCTTAAGGATTAACGGCTTTTTCCATGCCTAAAAATACGGTAGTGTCTTTTGCTACTCCCTAAGAGGCGCGTGTTGAAGCATATGAGAAAATACGTAACGAGAGCAAAAGCAAATTTGATGTTATAACTACAAAACAAAGCAAATTTGATGTTATAACTACAAAACAAACTTTAACCAAAATGCATCTACTTCCTGTTCTCTCTGCATCACCCAAAGGTTTGACTGGTAGAGAATGCCTTAAGCATTAAGTATAAATAAATTAATCTTCATTAATGACTAACAAGCAAAAATAAAATATGGTTGAACAAACCTTAAAACACCTTTTTGTAACTCGCCGAACTAAAAAGTGATAAATACCTACTTTTCTATAAGTTGAAAAAGAAAAATCATTTAATCGTAAAAATGCGTGGGGTGTAAAAATAACAACCCACGCATTTGCACGCAGTGACAAAAGCGTGTTTTTTCAAACTATTTTTTTTATTGTACAGCGCGGTGGGACAAATGAGTAGACGGTCCAGGCGACCGTCTGGTCAGGATGGTAAGTGACTTCCGCCGCCCACCGATACCTGCAACTGAAGCGATACAACTGTACACACTCAGGCTTCTCATAAGAGAATTAGGGGATTGCTGCTTCTCTCACTCGATGAAAAGCAAAGAAAGAATAGCTTATCACCGTTCTTCTGTGAAGCCGTGGTATCACCACAGTGGTGCGGGGTACTCCCACGATAAAAGAAGGGTAAAAGAAAGAAAGTATGAAATACAGTATTAAAAGTTTCTTGTCAGTGAGTAGAATAGAGATTTGTGTAGGATTATAAGGGGCCCCCTAGTAACAGGATTAAATAAAACAAAATAAAATTGAACAACGTCTCAATAAATATATGTGGTTATCAAGTAGCATTGACGATAGTGAACTTTTTCATGAAAGGTACTTAGTATAAAGGGATTAAGACTTAACACATCAGTCTAAGGGTGGCGGCGTTTTAATTGTGGTTATGTAAAACCATGCGGATGCGGGAATATAAAAGAACCCACTCAATTAATGGCAATTATTTTCTTTTTCTTTCTTTTAAAAAGACAACTCCCGCATCAGGAATATATCCTGTGTCGCAGGGGACTTTACAAACATATATGGAACGGACACAAAGAACACCCAGTCTCAGAATAACAATTTGTTGATCACACAAAGTGTCGTCTGATGTGAGGTTTGAACCCACAACACTCGGCGTAGTAGGAAGCAGCGTGGCCACCGCTTAAACCACTCCGCCATCCGTGCAGTGAGCTATTCCTCAGCTGAAGACATATGGGTCACATTAACATTACGTTATCTTCGTAATATAAAGCCAATTAAGCTTTACATCTGCACTTTATACTTACAAACGATAAATAATTATTCATTTCTGTAAGTAAATCTTTACAAGTCGGACTTTACAGCTAAAAGGGAATGGGAAGAAACCACAGAGTTGTCTTTATTTATTCTGTAAACAAAGTTAAAAAAAATGCGAGTAGAGTATAGGGTCTGGGTAGGCCCTTTGAAGAAAGAACCATATTTTTGAGTCGGCCTGTCCACACAGACGGCATACAGGCCCCGACCATCGTGTAGCTTAACCAATATTGGTCAAGATCAACGACACGACAGGAAATTTGAGTAGACCGTTACTAAAACTAACAGGAAGTTACTAAAATATGAACTAACATTACTATACTCATATTGTATAAGTGTGTACTATACAATTCAATTTCAAAAACATAATTGAAAACAAACGAAATACGAATTACAACAAAAAATAAAATGTTCATCAATTTCAAATGATGGAGTGAGCAGCATCAATCCTAAGGAAGCAAGATAAAGGAAGGGTGAAAGAAAGTATGCAATACAGTATTAAAAGTTTCTTGTTAGTGAGCAGAATACTAATTTGTATGGGATTTTTTGGGTATCCCCCGGTTACAAGACTAAAAAAAGAAATTGTAATAAAGCAAATAAGCAACGACCTCAATAAATTTATCTATGACTAGCTTGTTGGTCAAGTGGTTAGTGACCGTGACTGAAAAGCAGGAGGATGTGGATTCGATTCCCACACAGGAGCATTAACTCATTCAGAATTTTATTGAGAATAGTTCAGTTATAGATATTAAGTAAAGCTTTTGTTTTAAATAGTTAGAAAAAGTGGTACGTTTTTGAATAAATAAACACTAAAGTTTATTTTTTGGATCCGGCACCCGCACGGTGAATTCATGGAACGCTAAGAAATAGGTCTCTATACGTCGCGAGAGACAGCAACCTATGGAAAACGATTACATTTAAATGTTATTCCTGCTGATGCTAATAACTGTGGTGGTTTGAAGCAAGTATTGAAACTGGGCATGGGCTCCAGAGTTGTATTGAGACGCACTATTTCTATTACTGAGGGTCTGGTCAACGAGGCCATGGAGATTGTGTCCAAGTTTACATAGCTGGCTTGGCGAATCGTCATGGCGCATGATCAAGAATCAAGCAAGTTACTCGATTCATTTTTGTAAAATTAAATAAGGACACTGCCACAAAAGCAGATGACAATGAAGGGTTAGTTGTCATAGCGCCTGTGTCAACAGCCTATCAAGCAACTAAAGGTTACGGGGATGTTGCACGGAGAATGCTACCGCTAATCCTCAGTTGGGTGGTTACTGTACATGAATACAAATGCAAATACTAGAATAACTTTAGAAAATATATGAAACACATAATACGTGCCTATCAAATTTGAGATTCCCTAGGATGCCATCATCAGATCCTGACTTCGTAACAATGGGACGACTAACTACTTAAGTACGTCGTGGACCGATTTTTTTTGATTGTCAGCGTAATCGGTGAACATACAACACACGAAAACAACATACAATGGAACATAGAACCTAGTCGTTTTTGTAGTCGGTTAAAGATACAATAACTGTCACCATATCGCCAGTGTTAATATTAAACTTTTATTTTTTGAACTCATTATTACACGCAATACATTAATCTACTCACAATCAGATAGTAAATTAATGATGACTAGAATTTATTTTCAGCATAGTCACGATTACTGGCGGTAATGATTAGTCAGTTGCCGTTAATATTTCAACGTAATTGAGTAAGTACATGCATCAAACCAACCCGTCTGGCCAGCGTAGTATAGTAGGCCAAAACACCTTTGTAAGGAGAGGCCTGTGCCCAGCACTGGACTACTAAAGGCTGATGATGCTGATGATGACGATTCATCAAACATTTTACATAAACAAAAAAAAACATCTTCAAAACTTTTTAACTTACTCAAAAAACAGAAATATAAAGTACTTGGATTAGAGGGGCTTATGGCTAAATAGTAACCGAGTAGTTAACACATTGCAAAGTTAAGCAATCCTAGCCAGGTCAGTCTATGGATGGGTGACCATTCTTAACTTATTGAGACCACCTCGGAGAGCACGTTGAACCGTCGGCCCCGGTTGCCATACAAACGTCTTTGGCAATCATTACGGGTAGTTGCTGCTCTAAAAAGTCCGATAGCAGTCTTACTACAAAACTCCGATATCGAGAGTTGTGGAGGTCTGATGGCGTCCGCGGCCCCAACCTTGTTTGGTAAAAGGCTCGGAGGAAAAAAGATTAGATAGATATTATAGATTGTGGTTATCTATTTGATATTGATGTAATCTTTATTTTCAACATATATTAGTATTTGCACGTGGCATTCTTCATCGTTGTTTATAAAAGGGTTTAAATTCATATCATACTCGCATTAGTTTTATGATAGGCTATCGTTGTCAACTGCGACAGCAACAACACTCTCGACAGTCTGACAGCGTGAGCACTCGTGAGCACTCGTACATTGTGTCGCCGAATGCATAAATTTTGTGCTAATTTTATATAAGTGTAACGAAATTTAAATATGGCAAAAGTGGAACGAATTTTAAATGAACTTTTATTACAAGTCGCAAAAGAACAAAACTTTGTTGACTACGATTTGAAAATCAAACCTGTATCGAGTGGAGGCGCGAATTTTTCTTCAACACTATTCAATGTATCCATCACGGAGGGTGACAGAGTTGTGCATTTGTTTGTCAAAGTTGCCACGGCCGGTGAACAATTACGATCACAAGGGGGATCAAAGGTTTATGAAACAGAAATATTTGCTTACACGAAACTCGCCGAAGTTTACAAAGGATTAGAAGAAGAACACCAAGTACCTAAAGAACACCGGTTAAAATTCGCTAAATTCTACGGTTGTAATCCTGCAGTATATGACGAAACTCTAGTTCTTGAAGACCTTGTTGAAGCAGGTTATGTAGCGTTTGATAGATCCAAGTGCTTTGACCTAAAATACGCAACTAGTGCGCTGACAGAGTTAGCGAAAATGCACACTCTGTCATTAGCATACGGTGTATACCATGCAGATGAATACAATGAAGTTATCGATACTATGATAAAAGGAAATTGGGTTGTTCAAGCTGGTTCAGCTCTGGTAGATTCTCTGGAAACTGCTTTTGCTACCGCACTTAAGAACGCTAGAGAAGAAACCAAAGACAAGCTACAGAGATTCCTTGAAACGTTTGACAAGGCTGCGTATGGTGATTTTTACAGGACTTCTGGACCTCCAGTATTGGGACACGGAGATTTTAGACCAAGTAATTTGATGCACAAAGTGTGCGACGTAAGTTGGCTACAATTAAATAACATATTTAGTTTAGGTTTAATCTTTGTACTCCTTTTATTTCACCAGTACTGTGATCTAGCATTTTACAGCTGATCTGATGTTAAAGTCAAATGGCAGGATTGAGTAGATGCTATTAAACTCCTCAAGCTTGATATCATAATTTATTTTGATCGCTAATAATGTAACTGTCCACTGGAGAAAGAATTTTTAAAATCGGTTTAGTGGTTTAGACGGGCAATCGTTATAAACAACTTACTTTCCAAGTATTGATAAGTATGCATGTTACAGATATCTTACATGCAGGATCAGAACAAAGGACCGTACTCGTGACACAATGTATAGGCGACCAAGAAATTGGTTTACCACTTTTGATGACATCTCCCAGTAACATAATTATTCGCTAAGGATTACTGTATTACATTAACGTAATTGGTTAACTGTGAGCCAATCACAGAGCAATGGTTAAAAGAGCATGCAACTTGAACTGTGATGTCAACGCAATAGAGAATATTTTATGTAAACACAAACCAACTTGTCCTTATAAATCAAGGAGGTTTATGCTAGATACCATACTTAAAAAAAAACTACTGTCAAGAAAATGTCGCGTAATTTAAACTTACAGAAAAGAGCCGAAATTATATCATTACATCGGTTAGGATACAACATAAGTGATATTTCTAGAGAACTGAACATATCGCGATATACGACACGTTTTTGGATAAGACTTGAAGGGGAAGAAGGTAATCTTCAAGATCATAGGCGAAGTGGTCGGCCGCCTGCACTGTCCAGCGAGCAAAGAGAAACAATGAGACGTCAGTACGAAGAGAACGGCTTCACTTCTACCAGCGATTTTGCAGAAGAATTCGATGTTACGAAAGAGACCATTCGGCAGCATTTGCATAGTATGGGATTGCATTACAGACGTCACGCTAAAAAAGTTTATTTGACCGACGCTAACAAAGCGGCTCGTTTAAATTTTGCCCGGGAGTACTTGAATTTCGATTGGTCTACTACGATATTTACGGACGAAAAAACGTTCAAATCTAGCCAACATGGTTGAATGACTCTCTGGCGTTACAATTATACTAGATACACTCAAGAACATGTTGTGCCGACCACGGAGTCTGATAGAATCAGTGTAAATATTTGGGGCTGGATGTCGGCAGATGGAGTCGGAGAATTAAGCAGACTACCTCCGAAATCCAACGCTTTAGATTATGTGGATAATTTAGAAAATGCTATGTTGCCAACCGTCCGGAACGTCTACCCGGAAAGCGATCTGCCTCAATTTAATTTTCTACAAGACAACTGCAGATTACACACAGCTAGAGTGACTCGTACCTGGTTTTATCAACATTCATTCATTAACTTGATTCCATGGCCGTCTAAAAGTCCAGATCTTAACCCGATCGAAAACCTTTGGGGACTTATGGTGCAGCGATGGCATCACCGCAATGAGAGAAATCGAGATGCCATCGATAGTCATTGCCATGAAGTTTGGGACAGACATTTTTTAACGCCTCGTTGGCTCTATGAGAAGTCGCTTGTTAGCAGTCACCGAAGCTAATGGTGGAAACACGCGTTATTAGGCTGATATTTCCCTATAATTTTTTTTTACAATTAAATGATACTGTTACGTTTTATGAAGGACAATAAATTTATGTTATTTTTAAATGATAAATCATTGTTTATTATTAATCCTAAAACCCTTTACGCTACTAGCAGGAAATGGGACGTTTTTAAATCTATTAAAAACATATAAAATAAAGTTTAATTCCTTGGATTCAAAATTCAATTATTTTACGTCGAAACTAAACAAAACGTTTTATTGCACATAAAGTAGCAGGAGGTTAAATTGCAAGCCATCAGTTCTGAGTTTAAATAAACAGGAATGACAGATTCTGACGTGGCAGTTATTAATCTGTCAAGCGAAAATAGCCCTTGATGTTTTGTACGTGCAAATGATATTCAGCCTTAGAGTGGTAAACCAATTTCTTGGTCGATAATACTCGTGAGCTCTAGCTAAAGCTAGATTGCAGTTCATTACGTGGTAGCAAGTTTCAAAATATTTACAGACTTCATATTATATTGCTCCTTCACGCTGCGGACAAACCCCTTTGCTTTTGTTCATAATTCTTTTTACCCATTGCCCAGTTGCCATTCGAGTCTTATTCTCCTTTAATTTTGCTATCGTCAATAGCCATACATAGAATAATCTTGCGATTAATACATGATTTTAAGTTTCTTTGAATGAATTCATTCTTTATCTTGTCTTTCCGAGTAATATCACAAATCATCGTAACGTAGATGGTCAATCATCTGATATTAATCAAAATCAAAGGTCAATTACTCAAATTACGCTGGGTGTCAGCACTTTTTGAATATCATTGTTGTCAATCATTGTTCGAGTACATAAAGACATTCCCACAAAAACGTCCAACCCATCACCACTTCCTAGCGTTTTAGGTGGAAACAAGAAGCGATGGAACAAACTAACCAGCAACATACATATATTAATCTGTTAATTGCAGCTGTAATCTCAATAATTTTAGTAGTCTTTTTAAGAACGAACGTAAACAGAGAATATTATTACTTTTAGGACGGCACGATGGATATCAAAGTAGTGGATATGCAGACACTTTACGGAGGCAGCCCCGTTATAGACTTCTTATATTTCATCTTCACGGGGTCTGACGAGCAGCTGCGGGAGCAGCATTTTGAGACATTGCAAGATCACTACTACACCCAGCTATGTGTGTCCATGAAGAGGCTGGGTCTAGAGCCCGACAAGGTGTATTCTAGAGAAACCTTCCAGTCTGAACTAAAGGAGGTTAGACTTATTTTATTTATCTGTAATACTATGTGCAATGCTGAATCAGAAGTAGGCCAATCATGTCACCATGCGGACTGATGGTTGCTGGGTCCATCAGATGTTTGAGTAGAGACCGCGATTAGGCAAACTTGACTTGGCTGAGAGCGGATTGAGGCGGACGCCTAATAAGTATGGTGATGAACCACAATGTCAGACTTAATATCATAGGCATTCCTAAATCTTTTAAAAATTCTTTTGTGAAGGTGCCGGTTTACGAATAGAACACTACAAACTAATTTAACAACCAATTGTTTTCTATCTGCACCAAGCTTCTGCAGATAGTAATCTGAAAACATTGCATGATGATCAATAATAATAAAAGATAAATATAAAATATCCTAATTGTTTCAGAAACTTGTATTTGGGCTGGTGCTCGCGATGCTGTTTTTACCGATAGTGTTGGCAAATGACACGCCTGAGGTAAACGAGGAATTTACTCTCTCCGCCATGGCTGAGATAAAGTCCACTGACCTTTGTATCGAGAGGCTAAACGGCGTTATTAATGATTATGTCAAGTGGGGGATACTAAAGTAGCGATTACAAGTCTAAAAAACATGAATCTTAGTTTTTTATTATCCATAAATAATCTGTTTTTAACACGCTTTTATATTAGCTTGGTATGTATGTATCTATGAATGTATGTAACGGAATCTTCGAACTTGATTTTGAGCCACTTTAAAACGTTGAATTAACTTGGAACTTCGCAAACTTATCAAGGACCGATGACAATACAATAATTTATCAATAATATTAAAACATTGGCTGATTATCATGATCAGGATCTTCAGGATTAACAGATTTTTCCATACCTAAAAATACGGCAGTGTATTTTACTACGAAGAAGTGTGTGCTAACGCATATGAGAAAATAATCTTCATTAATGACTAAAAAGTTTAAATAGCCTGCCTTGCGCCATGATCAAATAGCATCAGGCAAGTTACTCGATACAGTTTTGGTAAAATTAAATGATGACACTATTGGCACAAAAGCAAAAGACAATGAGGGGTTAGTTGTCATAGCGCCTGTGTCGACAACCTATCAAGCAACTAAAGGTTACGGGGATGTTGCACGGAGAATGCTACCGCTAATCCTCAGTTGGGTGGTTACTGTACATAAACTTCACGTCAGAACGTGACGTTCACCGCGTTCGGGGTTGCGATTGGCCACCACTAAAGAACCTCTTCACCAATCTCAACGCAGATTGCAGTAACGGTAAGGATCTGATGTGAATTAACTCATACTGGGCAGGGCACAACACTAAACAAATCCGTTATTGATTTAGGCAACAAAAACAGCGAAAGATCAAGTTTACGTTACGTTAAGTCGCGTAAAGACGCTAGATGTTATTGCTCTTTGTAACTTAGAGTCCAACAAATTACTTAAGAACCCGCATGACCAAGATAAAGCGTTGCGCGAAATTCGATGATTAAGACTAATTGTAAATATTTAAACTAGAACACTAAGACAAGCTATGTATGTAGTGAATGTGTGTAGAGATATGGGACTAATCCCACCCACACGCTCACCACTGTAACTCCTGTACACCAGGATCCACAGCAGTGACCCACGAACACACCGAGTTATGACACTCAGGAAGTCCCAGGAAGAAATTAAACTGTCTTGGAACCCGCAACGAAATTAATCAGAAGGAAATTGGAGGAGTTGGAAATACAGTAAATCCACTTCCCTCCTTAGCAAGTGTGTAGAGATAGTGTATGTCTTTTTGTTTCCTACAGAATACTGATGACTATTCTGTATTCTGTGATATAGTCCTGTATAGTATACCTGTAATGTGTCATCTAACTCCTAACCGTTGTAGAATTTAACCTTCCATCACCAGCTCACCTGAATAAGTTGAAAGAATACAACTAAATATATACGTGCATATAATATTTAAAGAATCATCCTCTATCTCCTAACCGTTAAGGAGTTTGTAGCCTACTATACGTACCTTCCATCATCAGCTCATCAGTCACTAGAATTACTTTAGAAAATATAGGAAACACATAGTAAGTGTCTATAAAATTTGAGGGTCGCCCTCAATTTCCCTAGGATCCCAACATCAGATCCAGACTTTTGGTCCACAATTGACAGAATGGTGAACATACATAAAAAAATAACATTCAGTGGAACATAGAACCTAATCCTTTTTGAAGTCGGTTACAAAAAAACAACGAAAACTGTCACCTTATCGCCGGTGCTAATATTAATCATTTAATTTTTTAACTTATATATATATATACTTAGATAATAAATTAATGATGACTAGATTTTTTTTTTGTATAGTTATGATTACTGGCGTTAATGAAGTCAGTTGCCATTAGTAGTTCAACGTGATTGAATAAGTACAGAACTACGCAGAACAACAGCACTGCAAAAAGAAGGAAAACTTGACACAAACCCTATACCAACCCGCCTGGCCAGTGTGGTATAGTAGGACAATCCCTCATTTATAAGGAGAGACCTATATCCAGCAATGGGCTATTAAAGGCTGTTGATGTGTGATGATGTGAATAAGTTCATTTATCAAACCAACCCGACCCCCCAGCGTTGTTTAGTAGGCTAAAACTTCCTTTCAAGGAGAGGCGTATGCCCAGTAGTGGACTACTAAAGGCTGTTGATGAGAATATGCAAAGACATCACAACAAAATTTATTTTAAAAACAAAGGTTTGTGTGAAACCTCTCCTTAGAAAGGAGGTTTTGGCCTACAATACCACGCTGGCCAGACGGGTTTTTATAGGGTTTGTGTCAAGTTTTCCTTCTCTATGCAGTGCTGTTGTTCTGTGTAGTTTTCTCCTTTAGTCTGCTCTTACGTCACCCGTCGGGATAAATAGGAGTGGGGACAGTCTGTATTCTTAATCCGTCACCACACGGACAGATCAGCTCGTTTACCATCTGATCAACTGGAATCAACCAACACATAACAGCAGGAGCCTATGTTATCTGCTTATACACCATTGGAAGCTGTGGTATAGTCATGACCACAGACGTACGTTCACCATGGATTACTTAAATGGACTCCCGTCCATTTGTAATACATGGTGTTAGGTGTACGTACCACTACAATTCCTTACGCAGATGTTGGACGTGATGCAAAAAATGACAGAACGCTGGTATGCACTGCCCACTGAACCCAAAGTAAGTATAAAAGACATTTATTTACCATCATTTGACCGTTGACACCCATGTTGGTGCAACTTATTGATAAAGCAATTGAGACATACAAGCTGAATGACTTTGATATTCGGATAAAAGTGTTTAGCCTGTTGAGGGTGTTGAGTTTTCAGGTTAAATGATGAAGTCCACCATAGCCAGTAAGTATGTCTTTATTTTCATAAGTTATATTACAATGCAATACGCATGTCCGCCATAGCTAAGTCTAAGTGTAGTGACGTACCACTGACAAGTATCGAGAGACGATAGTAGTGTTGTACTACCTAACATCTCCCTTTTTTTTATAAAAAAGATTAACTTTAACATCTTAAATGTATTATAATAATTAAAATGAATTTTTACATATTACCTACAAGATTCCATGGCTATCATTAATTAATTTTTTTTTTTTTCTATAATTAAAACCAATATGTAATGTTTTCTTCAAGCCATGAAAACTTTTACAAATCTATATTTACTTTTCTCTTGCCTGTAATAAAAATAAAAAAAAATAAACAAGAATCTATGGATATCAAAATACACTATATGACTGTCAACATGACAATAGACAGTTCTGACATTGACACATATCTATTAGCTTAATTATAACAAAATTACTGGATAATTACACAAGACAACATTAACAATAACGCTTTGGCTTTTTAATTACACGCCCTGAACGGGTTGTTATTTGTGTATTATTCGTACTAGGCTTAGAGTTAGTAGTATTATCCTGTGTGCTAATTTGACTTTCAGTTTCAGGTACAGTATCAGTCATGGAATCGGTTGAGTTGGAAGTAGAAGGCTTTAAAATGTGTTCACGGCTTCTACGGAAGATGCCTTGAGGTGACTTGATAATGTAACTGCGTGGATGAACATCTTTTTGTGATACTACACCCGGAATCCAAGTATCTTGTGGTTTGTGCTTAAAGTAAATTTTGTCATCATGTTTGAGTGCTGATAGTGACTTTGAATCCTTATTGTAATAAAGTGATGATTTGAATTGTAGTTTTTTAATGTTTTCCTTTAAGCTTCTGATATCAACAGTGCAAGGTGTGAGTGAATGTTCTGATGTAGGCAGTTTTGTACGCAACTGTCTTGACATACATAACTGTGATGGAGAATAACCGGTCTGTTTTGGTGTATTCCTATACATTAAAAGTGCTAAATAAGGGTCTGTATTATCTGCTTTGCATTTCTTTAGTAGGGTTTTAATAGTACCTATTGCCCTTTCTATCATTCCATTAGATCTGCTTAGGTATGGACTGGAAGTTGTGTGTTCTATTCCCCATGTTGTAATAAAATTTTTAAATTCTTTACTGTTAAAAGGAGGTCCATTGTCTGAATGCATAACTTCTGGGATTCCGTGACGGGCAAAAATAGATTTTAAGTGAGTTATGACTGTCTTTGAATTTGAATCTGACGTTAATAATGCAAGCTCTATATACTTTGAAAAATAGTCTATTAATATTAAGTACTTATTACCATTTATTTCAAAAATATCTATACCTACTTTACTGAAAGGTAGCATTTTATAGTCATGGTGTATCAATGGCTCCTTTGAATTATTTCTTCGAAAAGTTAGACAAACATGACATTGGTTTATATATTTCTCAATATCATTGTTCATTTGAGGCCAATAAACTGTAGATTTTGCCAGGCGTATGCAACTATTGATACCTTGGTGACCTTCATGAACTAATTTTATGACATACTCTCTCATATTCTCTGGAATCACTATGTTATTGCCTTTGAATAATATATTGTTTACAACATGTAACTGATCTTTTATAGTAAAATATTGTTTGACCAACTGACTGACTGACTTTTTATGTTCTGGCCAACCATTTTGACAAAGTGAAATAATTTGACTTAAAGTTGAATCGTTTTTTGTATTTTCCTGAATTTCTAATAACTTTTCTGGACTAACTGCTAGAGTTCTAAATAAAAGATTGACATGAAGATCAAGGTCTTCGTCTAAATCTGTAAGTGTACCTGCTGGAAGGGCTGACCTTGAAAGTGTGTCTGCAATGTATAGGTACTTACCAGGTTTGTATAGCACATTTAAATCGTATGGTTGCAGCCTCAGCATGATTCTTTGTAACCTTGCTGGAATATCGAAAAGTGGTTTTTTGAATAAGGTAATTAGTGGTTTATGGTCTGTTTCAACAGTTACTTTTCTACCATATATATATTGGTGAAATTTGGTACAGCCATATAGAACCGCTAGAAGTTCCTTTTCGATTTGAGCATAATTTTGCTGACAAGTACTTAGTGATGCTGATGCATAAGCTATGGGCTGTTGCTCATGTAAAATTACAGCTCCTAGAGCATCTTTGGATGCATCAACCGACAGTATTATTTCTTTTTTAGGATCGTA